AAAGTACTTTAAACTGTATAAATAAGTTACCCGGCAATTGATTTACATCAGCCAATCAGACGAATGTCTGTCTATGAATTAGCTTGTAGTTAGATGATATTTTGAGTTTGTGAGTGTAATATTCGGAGATTCCCGGAAAAGAAAATTACTTCACCCGAAAAAAATTGTGCACTGATTTTGATTTTTAATGATTAAACATAATAATTAGTTTGATTTTTTTAGCTGACTCTAAAATAAAACATAATATTAAAGTACGTACATATGTCCCTTGTACGTACGTAAATGCTTGATATACATGGTTGAATCGCTTTTTTATACTCTAGAGCATTCATATGCTTTAATATAGTTAAGTAGATAGATTACGTACGTACATACATGCGTTCAGGCGTAACGATAATAGAGTTTGAACTTAAAATCGAAATTGGTCTATTATAGGTGATACATCCGACAAATTTCCAGAAACACATTTCAAAGTTACACCAGCCACGTGTTCGGCCAAAGTTACATTGTAATTTTGTATGAACACGTGGCCAACGTAACCCGAAATGTGTTTCTGGAAACTTTACCGGAGTTGTCACCAATAATAGATTTAAACCCGAAATTGATTATACTGATAAACTTTATAAAAAAACATTAGCTAAAAATGAATAAATATTATTATTTGGTATATAGTTACTATAATCATATTAATACTATAACACGTATTTATTGCCCAGATATTGAGTTCGGACTGATCCGGAATCTTTATATTTCTTTTTCTGATTGTATTCTTTTTTTTTTTTATGATTTTGTATCTTAAAAACTTATATTATTCGTTTAAGTTGCCAGAAAAGCTGCTGGCTAAAAAAATAAAAAAGGAAGACAGGAGAAAAGAAACCTTGTGGTTAATAAGCTAAGCTTAATTGTTTTTAAATAAAAAAATAAAACCATGGAATAAATAATTTAGCGTTATGGATTAATATGAGTAACATAATCAATGAACACTATTAAATATTAAATTATAAAGTATTAGGGTGTTTTTTTTTTTGCGAATGACAAAGGTTAGTTGAGTTATGAGTTAGTCCGTCTGCCCGCCATATGTTATTCTTATTGGCCAATAATTAATTCAGATTTGTGATTTTTTTTTTTTACCTTTCATATCTCTTTATTTTATATTTAATGTCGCGGCTGATACTGAAATTGGCTGATGCTGAAATTTAGGGCCCCAATTTAAATCTATAATACCTACTAAAATTCACATATACTTTTTTACTAACAACTCTACCCTCAAACCCTAACGAAAAGGCCCGAAAATTTTTTAAAATTTCATAATAAAATAAATCAAAATTTCAGCATTAGCCAATTTCAGCATCAGTCGCGACATTTAATAATATTAATAACAGTAATAATATGTTAGGCTTCTGACTCACAAGTTCCTGTTAACCTGGTGTATTTACCCGACATTATCTAAAAAAGCTTGATTGGCTGATGGAAAAAATTGATAACAAAAGTCTTCGTTATAGTGAAATGTCATTAATTTGAAAAATAATCAAAGGTTCACATATCCGAGTTTATTATAAAGGAGGTCCTTGAACGAGGCCTGTCATTTTATTATCGGAGTTGATTTGTGTAATGATTTTTATGATTGTATTATGTTACATCTGATCAGGTAAATACTGTATGTATGTACTTACGTACGTGAATAACAAATTTGAAATTTAATAATATGTTTAACGTAATTGCATATTTAATTGACAGATTATATTACATGTGTTTGTTTTGGTAGGACCGAAATCAAATAAAGGTCAAAAATACAATATTTCACCTGTCAAATAATTAATAAAAAAAGAAAAATGTTACTGACAATAACATGTTATCGAAAATTTAAGCATTTAGAGAAATTGTTCAATTTTAAATATAATTAATATTGTTCGAAAAAATGTACGGATTTCATATAAAGCTTTAACATAGGTTTTTTATAAATTAAATATTTCGATTTTGCCATTTCGAATATAAATACGGAAAAAATTACCAGATATATTATTACGTAAAGTTTTTAAATCTGGTAATCGAATATAAATAATTCACTGTGTGAATATCGAATTGTCTTCATAAACGAAATTAAACTGCGTAAAATCATTCAGTCTAGTAATAATTCAATTGTTATCGAAAGTTTTTGATGCCAGCATCAATTTATTATTATCCGGAATAATTAAAATATAGAAAAGATGATTGTGACAAGATATTATCGATAGAAGGAAGTAGAAGTGATAAGGAAAGATTATCAATAGAAGGAAGCGAAGGATAAATCTCATTAATAGAAGGTAGTGACGGATAGAGGTTGTCAATTGTAGGAAGTATAGGTGTGTTAGAAACTAAAGACTGAATACGATCGCGACGACGCTGAAGAATGCGTTCTTTATGCCTTACATAATATCGATGATTTGCAGAGTAACGGGATGATTTTAAACGAGGCATTTTAAATATAACGAAATTTATTCTTGAGGACCGATAAAAAGGGTTGAGCACCTTTATTATATTTGACGCAATATTTAGCCACATATTCCTTTTCTTTTTTAAAGTGATTTTAATAAAGACCGCGCTGATTATTTAATATGATTATATAAATAATCATGATAAAAAAAAGGGGCATCTACATTCTTTAACCATTTTCATAATGAAAATATAAGCATTAATAACAAAAACTTCTGTGATCCGCTTATCGTGGCTTTGAAATAGTAGAAATTAGGACAAAAAATTTTTTTTGATATGGTACAGAAAATACATATATGTACAAGTGTATCTAACAGGTACACAATATAATATATATTAATTTAAGAACTGTCAGTACAGTTAATAATTTGTGTACCTTATAAAATATTATTTTTTGGGTATGTTACAGTAAGATATTAGTTAAAATATGTACGTATTGTGTTTTTTGTGTATTTTATAAGAATTTTGTTTTTCAGAATATAGTTTAGAATATATACTATTTTTTAATATATTTAATATTCTAAGTTAAAATCATATTTACCATAATAAAAAATTTCAGTTTTACTAAATCACATCAACACCCACAATCGCTATATCTCAAAAGCTAGCCGAGTAATTAATGCCGGGTATACTAAATAAAAATATTCAACTCCCCAAAACCTTATATTAATCTAAATTTTTCTCTAATAACAACTTTTACCTTAACATGTAACAGCACTCAAGTCTAAATTTTACTAGCAAAATTATTAAAAAATACGTGTTGTTAAACACCAGGGTGTGTGATTTAGTGTTATTGATATTCAATTACACTAGATTAAAAAAATTATATTTAAAATATATACTGTAAATATCTAATTAAATTATATTAAAAAAAAATAATTTTAATTTAAAACATGTTAATTTAGATAAATATTTAACTATATACATCATATAAATAAAATAATTGTATACCAGTAATTATTCATATTTTTATTGATGCAATCATACAATCTATTACAAAGCCCTTTTTTGCACCGTACCTAAAAGTATATACTGTATAACCTTTGGGTACAGTACATTTTTTTTTATATTATCCTATCATTTTTTTATCATAACTGGCTTATTAATATCAAATTCGGGTACAGTAAATTTTTTATCAAGTATATATATGCATACCTAACACCAAAAAAAGAAACTTAGGTACGGTAATTATTATTTTTTTTGTGTACCCTGTTAGAAAAAATTTATCCGGGTACGGTCACTTTTCTGTACCGTACCAGAAAGGTATAATATACACGTGCATACTCGTATACCAGATTATCTTAGCATACCGATGAAAGATCGAAACTTACATACATAAGTACTTATTGTTTACCAACACGTCTAAAATTGTTACAGGTACAGTACACCAGTATACGAGTATACATCAAAAAAATAATTTTTTGACCTGTTTCTACTATTTCGAAAACCGCGATAATTTAACTTAATACTATTTTAGATAAGGTACAACACTCCAACGAATGTGATCTTATAAATTTAATTTTCGTTTTAGATTACACAAATTTCGGAATTTCCAAAGATAATTATCAGTAAATTTTGACCTACGAACTGGGTAATACACGGACTAATTAATCAAAATTATATCAGATACATTGATTATTTTGTTGTAATCAAATTTTTATCTGCGAAATTAAACTAATTAATTGAACATAATTTTTTTTACTTAATTATAAAGAAATCACTTACCGTATAGTTCCGAAATTAAACACCCCCCGAAATTAAGCACCATTAAATTTTGTATAATATCCAAAAATAAGCACCCCCCTATGTTTATATTAGTTTTACGCTTCTAACTTCACAATAATAGACTTTAATAGATTTTATTTATTGATTTATTTATTTTTGCTGTTGCAAACGTTAAAATATTCAATTTACTTATTTAATTGTTTTTGCCGTTTTAAACATTAAAATATTTAATTTATTTATTTATTTGTTTTTGCCGTTGCAAATGTCAAAATATTCAATTTAATTAATTAAATTATACAGTACAGCTTCATGATTACAACAAATAAAACTAATTGTTGTCAATGTCCATAATCTCAATATCATTGTCAATGTCCATAATTTCAACATTATTGTCAATGTCCATAATTTCAATATCATCGCTAATGTTCATAGTTTCAATATCATCGCTAATGTTCATAGTTTCAATATCTTCACTAATATCGATTATATCAATATCCCCACTAATATCAATTATATCAATGTCATTATCTACATCTATGATTTCAGTGTCTTCACTGATATCTATAATTTCAATATCGTCATTCTCATATTTATTAACAGTATCTTCTAATTCATTACTATCGGCATCAGTTAAATTGTTTGAAATGCTACATTTTATTAAGGATTGGATAATAATATCATCTGAAATTTGTTCCCAAGAACATTTTACCCATTCACACACATCACTTATTCTAGTATGTCGAAGATTTCCAGCTGCAGTTTTTTCAGCACTACCTCTTGACATCCAAAGATGCCATTCTTTGCGAAGATTATCTTTAAATGGCTTATTAATTGCAATATAGAATGGTTGACAAATACTAGTCAAGTCACCTGGAATAACAGCCAAATCAATACCACTATTACGAAATTTATCCTTCACTGAATCCTCTAAATGTTCTCTAAAAGAATCATACACCATCATCATTAGATTTCCACATTCATTATTAATTCTATTATTGATATAATCAATATATCATATCATCAAGTTGGTATCCATCCATCCATTATCTTGAAACTAAACAAAAATACCAGATGGAATTTTTTCACCATGTGGTAATCATTTTCCTTTGAAAACACAAATTGGAGGAAGTTTTGTTCCATCTAAGTAAAAAAACAATTATAAATCGAAATTCATACAGCTTATACAGAAACTTATATTGTTTAAAGCCAAGATGCTAAAAAGTTAATAAATATATAGAAATAAAAAAATACCAAAAATGAAATAAATAAAATAATAAAATTCATAATATAAATTTAAAAAATTTTTCATACCCACAGCACATGTTAAAACTACTGTGAACTGATTTTTATCATTATTAGTTCCACGAATATGAACTGTTTTTTCACCTTTTTTATCTATAGTAAAGTTTTCAACTATATCAAACCAGACAGGTGTTTCATCCATATTAAGAATATTGGACAATTCAAAAGATTTTCTTCTTCTAAGATGTATAACAATTGATGAAATTTCTCCAATAATTTATCAGTTTGTGAAAGAAGCTTTTGTGAAACTTTAGTACATCACTGCCAAGATAATTTATATCTTTTCATAAATGCAGATATCCAACGATTTGACATTTTAAAATTATTTGTTAAATTACTATAAAGAATCACCATATCAGATTCTTTTAAAATATTTTTCATTTTAATACGTGCAATTTCGTAAGTAACACCCAATCCTTGTTTTCTTTGCTCTATAATCCAATCATATAACTTTTCTTCAGCTTTAGGGTAAAATTCTTTTCGCCCAGATCCAACTCGTTTGGTGCTTTGTTTTATCTCAGCTCCCCAAAGTTTACTTGCTTTAATCCAACAACCAACTATACTATGATCAAGCTTAAAAGCAGTAGTAGCTTGATTTCTTTCACTTTCTTTAGCATAGGCAACAACTTGTTTTTTTTGTTCAATAGAATATGAATTACATTTACATTTAACGACTTTCTTTTTTTGTACAATTTTATTTCTAAATTTGTTTTGTGGCGCCATAGTACGTACGTATAGTATAAGAAATTAAGGTTACGTATTTCTTATTTTATTTTGATTTTATTTTTATTTTGATTTTATTTTAATTTTATTTTTATTTTGATTTTATTTTTATTTATATAAATTACATATAAATTACATCATATCATAAAGTTTATCTTATATACGTATTTTAAAAAAAATTATCCAAAATTAAGCACCCTCTATAACAAAAAAAGGGTGCTTAATTTCAGAACTATATGGTAATTTTTTTGATTTTTTTGATTGAAGATTGTTTATAAGAATTATTTCAAAGTAACTGCATTATAATTACATTTTATTTTTGTGAAAGTTCTAATTATTGCAGTTTGCAAAAAAATGTGAAATTTGCAGATCAAAAAAAAAAAAGTAATCGATTATTTCTGATTCTTATTGCCGATTTTTTCAACATTTTTTTGCAGAAATAAAAGTTGTAGATTTATTTTGTAACATATTTTGATTTAATATCTTTTGTACAAATATATTTTGCATGTTGTAAAGAACTTGATTATGTAATATTAAATTTTGCTTCTTTTCTAGCCTGGCAAGATTTACTATTGTATGATAAGCAAGAAGTTATAAGGATTATTACATGATATTGCTAAGAAACTTTAGTATAACTTATATTTTCATTACAATAAATTTTAGAAGTTGATAAAAAAGTCATATGTGCATTCAAATCATGCTCCAGGATAATAATTTTAGTTATTAGAAATGAATTTTTTTTAAAAAAATGTTTGCTAAATAAATATATATAAAACTTTATATGGTTCAATATTAGTTGATATATATATGTTATCAGAAGTAATGTTAAAAAAATCGGTAATTAGAAATCAGAAAACATTGATTTCTTTTTTTTTTTTTATCTACAAATTTCACATTTTTTTGCAAACAGCAGTAAGTTTTGTCCTATATATTTGAAATAATTAATAAATTTTCAAAGGCAAATCCTCAAAAAACACATATTAATAGAAAATATTCATTTTTTGACATTATATAAAAAGCTATGGAACTTAATAATAAGTTGAATCATTTTAAAAACATTAATTTTATTGCTCTTTTCAAATTAGTGTGACCTCTGCCAATCATCTCACACTGAAGATCGGCTTTTTTTGCGAATAAATCTAAATTTCTTGCTAACAAATAAAAATTTCTGAGATTACTTTTCTATTTTCACTTTTTCAATGCTTTAACAAGTAATATACAAGAGCTGGTTGTTTATGCAGCTAAATTATATAGAAAATTTCAAGCCTTTTCTTGTATCAGATTTTTTAATTTTTTAAAACTTTGAATGAAGATATTTTGACAATCACAAGTCAAATTTGATGAGTTTATCTTATTTAAATTCTATAAACCAGTATAATTCAAATAAAGAAAAGTTTATTAAATTTAGATCAGTGGCTGTTGAGATATTTTCTTTCAAATTTTTAAAAAATAATCAAATAAAAGTTGCGTCAAAATTTTTTCAAACTTTAAATGAAGTTATCTTGATAATCACCAAGCAAATTCAATAGAGTTTTTTTTTTTTGAATTCTATGAACCCTAAGATTCAAATAAAAATACTTTTATCAAATTTGGCTTGATAGTTGTCAAAATATCTTCAAAGTTTTAAAAAATTCAAAAGGATAAAATTTCTCAACTTTGAATAAAGAATTCAAAATAATGGAAAAAACCGAATTTGGCTTGGTGGTTGTCGAGATATTATCGCTCAAAGGTTTTGAAAAATTCAACATCTATCAAATAAAATTTTTTCAAACTTTGAGCAAAGATATCTTGACAACCACTAAGTCAGATTCGATAAATTTTTTTATTTAAATTTTACAGATCTGTAAAACTCAAATAAAAAAGTGACCAAATTTAACTTGGTATTTGTAAAGATATCTTCGTTCAAAAACTCAAACTGTCCATCAAAACAGAAGTTGCGGCATAAATTTGAGTTATCTCATAAAATACTAAATCAAATTTAATAATTTTTTATTTTAATTCTATGTCTCAAATTTGGCTGTTTTAAAAATTCAAGTCTCTCAAATAGAAATTTTTCTCAAACTTTGAATGAATATATATCAACAACTATCAATCAAATTCTGATAAATTCTTTTATTTGAATCCTACATATATAGAATTTAAATAAAAAAAGAAAATTTTATCAAATTGAGTTGATAGTTGTCAAGATATATTTACACAAAGTTCAAGAAAAATTCTATTTAATTTTTTAACTTCGAGCGAAGGTTTCTTGATAACCACTAGGCAACATTTAATGAATTTTTTTTATTTGAATTCCATGAATCAGTAGAATTTAAATAAAAAAAAAGTTCATTAAATTTTGCCTGGTGGTTGTCGAGATATCTTTGCTCAAAGTTTAAAAAAGTTTGGGATATAAAAATCAAATTGCTAATTTTCAGATTTACAGATTCTCAGTGATGTGTAATCTACAAAATTTGATAGACACACTAATTTGAAAAGAGTGATAATATGAATTACGTAATAGTATGCATAATGATAAATTGTAGTATTGAAAAATTGTAAAAAAAAATTAATTAGCACTTGCAATATAAAAATCTGCATTATCGTTTTAATAAATCAATATTGTTAGCTGACATAGTTTAGTATGTGTATACACCAATATGTCGCAATGGTTACATTTGCAAGGTTCGCATAATAAACAAAATACATTGTACATACATACAGTATTTGACTATTTAAGAAAATTGATAATGGCATTATATTAGATAGTGGGACCAATCATATAAAAATCTTTTTGAATGAAATCTGATGTAATATAAGTACTGATTTCAGTATCCCAATTTTAGTTATAGTTTGCATTGATAACAAAAACAAAAATATACCCCACAATATCAAATGGTAACTTGTATAAAATGAAATTGGTTCTGCTCTATTGCACATAACTATTTTGTGCAAATTTTTGATCTAAAAATAAAAGTTAATAAGGGTATATACTAAATTATATGTCTTGTTCCAATATTAATAAATAAAATTTTTGTTTCGCAGTCAGAAATTATTGATTGTATGGAAAATAGTGCTTTGATAATGAGACGAATTTGAAACATGTCAAGCTAAACTCATTAATAAATTATGAAACAATGTTAAAATGGATAACAAAGCCTAGCAAACTAATAAATATAATGCCTTACCAGCTCCCTTTCCAAGCAGCTACTTCCTCATATTAAATATTAAATTTTTTTTAAATGATCAAATCCATTAATTCATTAAATACTAACATGTTATATTCATTAATAGTACCTTTATTGGCCATTTTAACATTTTTATTATTATGACAAGTAAACCCATTAATTTTAACCTAATTAACACTCAACTTTTGGTTCTTGTAAAAATGTATTGAATTATAATCAACAAAATAAATAATAGAGAATTTCTAAAATTACACTAGTGTGTATGCACAGGTATTAATTTATTGATTTGCAAATCCGTATAACATATAAATTTATAAAAAAAAACTATTTAATATTAGGGTTAGAGTTAGAGTTAGAAGTTAGAGGTTAGGATTAGGGTTAGTGTTAGAGAGTATTTTATACTAAAATTTTGTGTAGATTATTTTTTGTTAGAACCTTCAAAGTAGTTTCATAAACAAAATTTTGAGAAATTTTGGGTAATAACAATACCCTGTGTGTACACACTAGTGTACAAATAGCAATTCCCTAAATAATAATAATAATTATTATTATTATTATATATTGAATCAATATATAATCTAATTATAATCTTTACTATTTCTTATTAATATTTGATAAGAAGATACCAGGAACGTAGTCTTGCAAATGACGGAGTGTATGGTTTCCTGCCATCTAGAATGGCGAGTTCACAAAATCTTGCATTTGATTAGACATTGAATGAAAATCTATAATTTTACATGTCGAAGTTCTGTGCTGGTGTAACATCTATCCTTTTTAATGTACTGTATAGTTAACTTTATTTATACTGATACTTGTATTTTTATGTGTTAATATTAAAATGCTGTGATGGTATAACATGTGATTAATGCTTTTTTTTTACATCAACTCACCAATAATTACTAGACAATTTAGTTCGCAGAGAATTTAATTACAGACAAGATTATTTTTACAGTCGATTAATTCACAGATAAATTTTTGTTTTTATTTTTTATATTTCTGGATCAGATCCGAAAAATGTGATCTGAAATGTGAAAAAATTAATTATGTGGGTTATCTTCTTGAGGGTTTATATGCGATTTATGTAGCATGTAGATTATGTATTAATTAACTCCCACTCTAACCCAACACTACAATTTCATGCTTATGATATTGGGTCATAAGATAAAAAATTTCATTCTTTCTTAGTAAATTATTGGCTTGCATGTGCTGCTGTGCAGCCAATCATCATTTCATTATTACAATCAATGGGCTTACTATTTAAAGTAAGATTAGGTTTTAAAATTTTAGCCAACTTTTGATAAAAAATATATGAAGATGGTTCTGTTTAAGTTTTTTGATGTTCGCTATGCTGTTTTTGAAAAATCCTTTTTTTGGTAGAAATAATGAATTTCATTTATTCATTTTAGAAAATGCTAATACTTTTACAATTATATAACTATTCTATTACATTATTATGATATAATTGCTGATGAATTGTTACGTGTGTACTTTATGTACATGCATACATATAACTGTGTGAAAATAATAATGTGAGTTCGTTTATTAGTATTAGATTTTGAGATAGTCTACAATTATAGTATCCACATAATTTATCTTTCTTATCAGCGCAGCAATTGACATTTCATTTTACCGATCTAATCAATTTATTGAAGCACAATAGCTAAAATAATGACACGAATTATTATTCATGTCAACTTTTGCTGTGCCGATAAGGGAGATAAATCATATACATATTCATACTGTATAAAAACTGTGGTTGAATATTTATTACAGCATTCTTATGATTATCCATATAATTATCGAATTTTAATTGTTGCAACATTTTTGAAATTAATTTCATCATATAATTTGTAATCATTAAAATTGACATTGCGAATCAACTACCAGAATTACATGATATTTACAGTCATATAAATTCAGTTGTCATTCATTTATAACAGTCTCATATGTGATAAATAGTATTGTAATTCAGTTACATTCATTTATTATCTGAATGCTATAAAGTGAAGACATTTTTTCAGAATTCCTTAACTATGTATTATTGTATGACAAGTTTGTAACAGACTTTTTTTATAGTAGCTCATGTTAATTCTAATGCAAACTAACAACCACATACTGAAATTACAGGATAATGAGTAAGTTCTAAATTTTTTATAGTAACAACAATAACTTCAATATAAACTAACTCAATATTAGCTACATAGCAATCAGGATATTTCAGTAATTCTAATATAAACAAGCTCAATTTTATTGTATATTGTTGTTGTAGGTGAGTTCTGTAATAGACATAATTCTAATACAACTAACTCAACCTTAATCACAGCAAAATTATAATTTCCGATGCAAACTAACTCAATTTTAACAAATTATAGTTGTCAGAATATCGAGCAAGTTCTGTAAAAATCTTTCTAGTAGAAATCATGATACAGCTGACCTCTCTAAATGCACCCTCCATAAATGTGCCCTCTCTAAGTGCACACCCTCTCTAAATACAGGCTCAAGTGCCGGCCCAAATATTTTCTTGACCTCCATAAATGCACTTATTCCCTATACACACATTATAATAGTGTGGTCCCAAGGGCATGCCTTAGAGAGGTCTGACTGTATTACATTTTCTATAATAGTAAGTATTATACTTACCTTGTAATTATCAACCGATGACTAAACAATTGAAAATCTTTCTAAAAATGAATAAATCATTATAAAGGATTTCATGTGTCGTACTTAGGTTTATTGTGACCTCAAGTCGGAATCAGCAATTAAAATAAAAATATAGTAATTTTCAAAAAAACAGAATACGAACTGTAATGTAATACTTAGTTCGTTCCTGGTTCTAGCGCGACTGCGTTGTGCAGCTACTCTAATTTTGATTGGTCAATCA